GTAAACTCTGCTACATGAATACCAAAACATTAATCAGAATTTTAAAAAAAAACAGTAACTGTAAAGTTGTGGAAAAAACATTGTGTACTGCTAAATCAAACAAGCACATATAAAGAGTTTACATATTATGTAATTCCAAGTATTTCTCTAGAAAAGTCAGTGGACCAGACAGTTCAAAGGAAAGGACAAGTAGAGCAAGCAGATTCAGTGATGCTAACCTATTCTATACAATTCTGAAATGGTGAATTCATAACCTTTTACTTTTGTTAAAACCCGAAGAATACAAATAAAATGAAATGGTAATGTAAACTATGGAATTTAGTTATAATGTTTTATGTAAACTATGGAATTTAGTTATAATATTTTATGATGCCTCTTGGAGAACCTGACAAGTTACCAAGAGTATCCCCTGCCCACACAGGCAGAGTCCGGCAAGCTCCCCATCACATATTTGATATGTCAAATACAGTAACAACAGGTCTCATTCCCTTGACCCTGAAAGAGTCTCCAATTGTTGGGAAAAGACGAGTAAGAAGAGGCTGCTAAAATCTCAGTGCTGGGAGGAATAGGGACATTACTGGTGCCCGCTTGAGTAATTCGACCATCAATGGGCTGATAGTGTGATACAGTGTGATACAGTGTTGTATGATACTGACATTCTGATTTTAATAATTATATATGGAAAGCAATAGGAAAAGACATATAGGAGTTACATGGGAACTCTATCCTTTAGCTCATATTTTATATAATCTAAATTGGATCTGAAAAATAAAATATTTGTAAATTATGCCTCCATAATATACATGTGCCTAAGTCAATGTGGATGTTCAAAGAAAAGGAGGTAAAATATTATTTAGGGAAAATAATTCTCTTATTTAAAAATGAAAAATGAGTATGTGATGTTTTACATCAGTTGTCGTGAGCTCTTTTGAAAAATACATGAGAGTAACAATAGGAATATCCTCCATGAGATATTATCTTGGTTCAATAGTAATACAGTTCTTTTGGGGGGTTGGAAGATTTTTCTTTCCATGCTCTTTGCTGTATTTCAGAACATATCTAGAAAATTGAAGGAAAATATTGCAAATTATCAATCAGAGAGTAGATAAAATATTTTATTTCAGGTTTCTGGAATCACCTAATGACTTTCAAAATCTCGGCTACAATGACCTCAGTTGCTCTGAAGTAGAATGGATTTTATTTATGTATGTATGTATTTCTTTATTTATAGTATCACCAAGAAGTTATAAATTACAATACATCCAAAAAGTGGGATCAAAAACGGTTTCATAGTTTTTTTAAATATCTATCATTTAATCAAATCATATGCAGAGTAGAACCAACTTCAAGGTTCTACCTGAGGATGAAACATTCTGCTACTATATACCATGTATGTGTGGCATCCCTGGCATTGAAAATAATAACAATAATACATAAAAAATATCCCTCCAATTCTTCTGTTACTTAGGCTTTCTAAACAATAAAGTTGATATTGGATAATGGAGGACTCATTTGCTTATTCGTGAGGGAACACAGAACAATAATTTTAGCCAAAAAATATATAACGTTCAAACATTTTATGTCTTTCCCTTGATCAACATTTTTTGCAACATTATAAGTGCAACTACATATTCCCTTTTGCTTAAATTAGGTAAAATAAAGGCATGTTTCATATTAAACTTCAAATAATGAAGAAACCAACAGGATTATTGCCAAAGAAAGTGGGTGGGTTTAAAAAATGCATTTAACTTATTTGCTCAGAGTACAAATAAATGAACTGTATATCGAAGATTGAACAAGTTCTTAAAATACACATTATCTTTAGGAATAAAAAAATTGCTATTGCATATGTCATTCAATTTCATAACATTACTATTATCTGAACTGTATGGAAATGAGGATGTGTGCATTTCTCTCTATGTTTATGTTGATTAATTGGGAAATATTATATGACTAAAAGTAGCTTCACTTTGCAAACCTAAAATATCCAAAAGTCTCTACTAAAGAGTATGAATTTGTAATTTAAAATACTCAAAACATTAATTCATTTTTATGTGTATTTAAGATTTTTGGTTTTATGGTATACTTTAATGAAATAAATAAGATGACTGAAAATAGAAATGAAAAGGACATATTCCATTGCCTTTCTGTATGGGAAAAGAAAAGTTACAATAACCAATTTGTTTAATTGTATTTATTTTGCGGGTGGAGGATTAGGCTACAATTGGTGGTGCTCTGGGCTTCCTCTTCACTCAGTCCTCAGTTGTAACTTCAATAAGTGTGAGGGGATCCTGTGTGGAGGTACCAAGGTTTAAATCAAGATTGGGATTAAAGTGAGGCTGACTGTGCTGAAAGAAGTGCCTTAACTTCTGTATTAAGATCCCCTTAAAAATAGAATGGAGCCATCACACTGCATTTGGCTTGATAGGCATTTCAAAACAGAAGGCGATGTGCAGATAAGCTTCATCTTGGGCACCTTGACCAAGAAGATATCCACTTCCTCTTGCAGTATCTTCAGAGTTTCAACAGCAGTCTGACTGACTGCCTGCTTCAGTGATTACTTACAGTTTTGGTGTACAGCAATTCCACCTAGACTTAGTACATTAAACCATCTGCACTAGGTATATATATTTGATAACACAATACTTTTCCAAGACTGTTTCTTGAGAACAACGTATATAGGACACGTGAGTAGATGAAATATTCAGGGTACTGGGGTGGAATGTAAGGGGCCTCTGAATGTTCCTCTGCAGATTTTGAGTCAACCACAGGTCAGACCTTCCCTCTAATCTCCTCCAACACATAACACTGGATGCTTTGGGGTTTGCAACAAGGTAGCTTTATAGGAAATATAATCTTTTGGAAATGTAGTTGATTAAAATGAAAGAAATCTAATAGGTTTCTGGTTGAGTGTGAAAAGTAAATATAAACACAGAAAGATAGGATATTTCTGAAATTTCCAGGAAAGTATTGAACACTTAGGTAAAGGTAAAGGCCCTCCCGTTGATCATTGATTTGCTCGAGCGGGCCCAGTAACGTCTCCATTGGAGACTTTGTTGTTACTGTGTTTGGCATATCGAATATGTCACGGGGAGCTTGCCAGGCTCTGCTGTGCGGGCGAGATCCTCTCGGTAGCTTGCCGGGCTCTCCGAGAGGGGCGGAGGAATTGAACTCGGGTTGGCCATGTTGGCTGCATGCAAGGCAAACGCCCGACCGCTGTGCTATCGCATCCGCCCTTTTTTTTTCTGTAGATGAAAAGGAGCAGATAACCCCAGCCCTGAGTTTCAAAGTCTAGTTACAGACTTCAAGGTGAGCTGGCGGGCATCCCTCACTCACCAGGCGTTTGCCTTGCATGCAGCCAACATGGCCGACCCGAGTTCGATTCCTCCGCCCCTCTCGGAGAGCCCGGCAAGCTACCGAGAGTATTCGATATGCCAAACACAGTAACAACAAAAGTCTCCAATGGAGACGTTACTGGGCCCGCTCGAGCAATTGAACACTTAATAACTCAAGAATGCAAATATATGCATGAAGGATAGTTGAAAGGTGGAAAGCACAGCAAAATCACAAGTTAGAAACAGAGGCAGAAGTCATGTAATAACTATTCTCTTCCTCCCATCCATAGAGTCTAAAATCAGATATAATTAATTAAGATAATAAAGGCACAACACTTCTGATTGCTGATCTACTGTTTCTACATGAATACCAGCAGGAGTAACCTGGCAATTGATGATGCCCATTTTGCTCTATTGCCCTGAGATCAAGGCACATAGTCTTCTGTTTTGAATTGCCTATTAAGCTAAACACAGTGTGATGGCTCGAATCTGTTTTTGAGGGGTCTTAATATAGATGTTGAGATTAGTCCTGAGTCCTGTTGCCCAAGAAGAAGGACTAATACAGGTTACAGAGCTCAGTCTAGGATTCTCTGTAAGTACTACTCTATAAAGAAAAATTAAAGGATGAAGAAAAAAGTGATAAATGAAGCTAAAATATTTGAAAAACATAGTTTAGTGATTGGAGAGATAGCACAGCAGGAGAGATAGTACATGCAAAGAATTTGTCAGAATTGAAGCAACCCCATGTTTGATCCCAGGAATGCATTAATTTTCCCAGAGGAATGCATTAGTTTCCCTTCAGAAGTCATTCCTGAGCACAGAACAAGGAGTGAGTACTGACAGGTGTGACCCTCAATTTTTTGATGACACAGATATATATACACAAAATATTATGTATAATATTTTATATATTTATATAATTATGTATAGAGAAGTTTAAGAAAAGTAGGTCAAATCATGAAGGGGGAAAATGTGTTAAAAATTAATGCAAATATCCTAGGGCTTTTGAATATTAACTTTTGTAGAAAGTTTCTTTCCAGGAAGGAGTATAAGGATCAAGACCCAGGAGTGATAAATCCTTGGGCATATTGGAAAGGTGAGAAACTCACATCACTTGGCTGCTTTATAAATAAGCACAAAGGGAGAGGAGTTCTGTGAGGCAGTAGGTCAAATGTATGTGATTTGCGGGTAGGTGACTAGGGAAAGGGATTGGGCTCTAAAGATAGATAAACAGAATTAAAACTACAGTAGGAGGTAGGAAAAGATAATTCACTTTAGCATAATAAAACCTTAATAAAAAATGAACAGATCCTTATTTGATGCTAGTTGTTATGTAGCTCAAAAAGAAAGATCCAATTCTCACCAATAAGATTTTAATCACATTTGGACACACATATGAAATTATGATCTCAAGAAAAGGAATTCTACTTTATCATTTGACTCATAACATCTAGCATGAACACATGGTGATAATATACAATATATATTAATATTATATATAATGGTATATGTGTATATATAACTATGATTACAGTAATCAAAGCATTTTAATCTAGGAAAGATAGAAATTAGGGGATTTTTACATCAAATGCAATGATTTTTTACAAGGTCTAAACAATTCTTAATAGGAAAAAACAGAAATAACAAACTTTTTTATTTTTCTTACAGGGAAGGGTGCAATTCTATTCCGCACTACCACAAATTATGCAGTAGAGTTTCCCACATTTGGGCAAATCTCAGGGGTCATTAAATCCACAGTGTGATGAATAAGCCTCACCCAAGAAAAACCGTTTTCATGATAGGAGTATCTCCCCTGCCAGGTATATATACCAAACACATCTCTTTTAGGAGTAACAAATTATACAATGGAATACTTAGAAAAGAGAATGACTTAGTTATAGTGATACATATGGTAGAGGAAGCTCTTTTACATCTGATTATGAATTTATTAGGATTCAGTTTTGATACATCACAAATGTTCATTAAAATTTAATACACTAACTTTAAAAATAAGGTTATTGAGGAATCCCTTATAAATGTACAAAATTGCTCAAAGATTTGACTGAGCAAAATTTGAAGCTCTGAAAATGTATGAACTACTTTTATTTTTCAGGACTGTGGCTGACAACATGTCATGGTTGACAGGTCAATCCTAATAAAACTATATCTGACAATCTAGATGGCAGGCAAGATAGAGATCAATCTTAAGCTAGAAAAGTTGATGGAATTTGTCATAAAATAAAAGGCCACAATAATTTGTGACCTTGTGTTAAATAAGCAAATGCCCTTTTATATTTCAGTAGCTTGTATCATCTCTATGACAATAAAAATACACTTTTGCAAGCTAGATCAAATTAAAAATAAATATTTCAGTGCACCAATATAAAAAACCCATAAAGTAGAAACATCTGTAGCAAGGACAAAATACAAAGCAAAAGCAAATTATTATTTATATCTTTGAATTACATGTAATTTATGCAACTGTAAAACAACTCAGAGAATTCATATATAACTTTAAAACTTCTTAAATAATCAAGAAAGTCAGTAGAAATACCTATATGAAAATGCAACTTGATACAATTTCAATTGAATATTTAAACAATTTAGGTGGACTTTTGGGTTGTTATTATTTTGATTTCTAGAAAGTCACATTTCACTGACCACTTATAAAGAATGTGACTCAATTAGTTATGATTTAATAATTGTAGATAATATCCAGAAGTTTTATAAATCAATGTTAATTCTTTGTATTTTCCACTGTCATTCTTCATTAAAATATTGATGTTGATAATAGTTACTGTGTATTATATGCTCAGTCAGGTTTTTCAGTAGTGTCTTTTTCTTGAATGTGGGTAAATAATATATCAAAATTATCATAGAGATCACAAATTATATCACTCTAAATTATTTATAAATATAGAAATTGGTGTTTGTAAATAAAATTTTTAAATCATTAGTAAGTTAATATATATTCATTTCCAAGCTAATCCTAAATTTTATTTTAATAAATAATAGTACACATAAAACCTTAGTTATAATTATATCATTTTGATTTTTGCAGAAACATATATTATTGTACTTTTAAATGAGTATTTATAACATGAAAATACATATTTCAAGAAGGGTTTCTCTTTCAAAAAGTTGCAGAGCAACATATATAGTACCCTAATACTGCTTCAGGAAACAATTATAAATTTGAAATAAAGTTTTTAAAAATAAACTTTGAAGAATACTCGAACAGAATCTGTTAATAAACTAACTCATTCTTTTATTTTTCTTTTTGGGTCACACCGGGCAATGCACAGGGGTTACTCCTGGCTCTGCGCTCAGGAATTACCCCTGGCGGTGCTCAGGGGACCATATAGGATGCTGGGAATCAAACCCGAGTCGGCCATGTGCAAGGCAAACGCCCTACCTGCTGTGCTATTTCTCCATCCCCCAACTCATTCTTTTTAACCCATTAAAAAATGAAAGCAACAGTTATGCTGTCACTGTCACTGTCCTCCCGTTGTTCATCGATTTGCTTGAGCAGGTCGAGTAACGTCTCCATTGTGACACTTGTTACTGTGTTTTGGCATATTGAATACATCACAGGAAGATTGTCAGGCTTTGCTGTGCGGGCAAAATACTCTTGGTAGCTTGCCAGGCTCTCCGAGAGGGGCGGAGAAATCGAACCTGGGTCAGCCGGGTCTGCTGCATGCAAGGTAAATGCCCTATCTGCTGTGCTAACAGTTATACTAGTAGGAAAAATTATCTGTTTATCTACTCAATAAAGTTTTTAATTATTTTGAAAATCTTAATTTTTTATGTTAAAATAATCTGTAAAATATCAGCTTATTTACATTATATTTGATCAGTACTCAGGGAATTCTAGTTTCTTTCATTATAGAAACATTTTGCAATTGTTTCATAATGACAAAATACAATAAACATTTTACTATATATGAATATTTTCTTAGCTTCTCAGCAGTGTAGAAAAACACTTCTACATATTTTGTTGCTATTGTTGTTGCTGGGATATAAAATATATATGTATACATATATATATAATCACTTAATCACTTAACTTCCCATTAGTCATCGATTTGCTCGAGCAGGCGCCAGTAACATCTCCATTTGTCCCTGTCACGTGCTAGTGTAGCCCAATGGCAACTGTTCGCTCTGGGAACATGAAGGGCCTCAAACCGATCGTTCATGATCTTGACGAAGAAATCTGACCAACTGGTAAGTGGGCGGCCACGCAGTCTTTTGACATCCCGTGGAATCCAGTCGATAACAGCTCTAGTCCAGCGGTCGTCTTTGAATCTCATTACGTGACCAGGCCATCTGATTTTTGACACCTTGGCAAATGAGACAGCGTCCCTGATTCTTGATCGTCGACGGATGTCGGAACTGCGGATTTTTTCTCTCATTTGAGTGAAACGTGATATTCCAAGCATAGCTCTTTCTATTCTTCTTTGGGAGACCTGAATAGCGTTCTCATCCTATTTGCGTAGGGCCCAGGTCTCTGAGGCATATGTTAATGCAGGAAGAACAGTGGAATCAAAGAGATGTGCCCGGAGCCGGAGTTCTTTGTCCTCTTAGTTATTTCTTCTACGTTCTTGAAGGCGTTCCAAGCTGCTCTCTTCCTCCTGCACAGCTCGGGTGCCAGGTCATTTGTCATGTTGACTTCTCAACCTAGGTGCACATAGCTGTTGCATAAGGTTCAAATATGGTAACACCTACAAGGGTGATTAGAGGTCGCCCCCAAAGCCTCTATCCCTCTCGGAAAGACTGGCAAGCTACCGAGAGTATTCCGCCCGCACGGAAGAGCCTGGCAATCTATCCATTGTGTATTCGATATGCCAAAACCAGTACTGCAACTGGTCTCATTCAACTGACCCTGAAGGCTTCACCGACATGGCAGCACTGAGAAGGATGAGAAAGGAGAGGCTGACAAAATCTCAAGGCCGAACTAGGCTGCCACAACGAAGGAAGACAAAAATGATCGTCTGCACTTTCAATGCACGTACGCTAGCATCAGATGCATCCATCAAGGATCTGATGGTACAAGGATGAATGATCAAGTACGACATCATTGGTCTGACCGAGACAAGAAGGCACGAATCTCACCATGCCGTTTTTGGCACCGGAGAAGAATTGTTCCTCAGAACATGCGATAAACAAGGTGTTGGAGGCATCAGTGTCCTTCTCAACACAAACTTGGCCATGAGCATTGATTCATTCGAATGCCTAACAACCCGAATCGGACGTTTACAATTTGAATAGATGTGGCTCACTGCCTGCAGTTTCTATCTTCGTTGTCTACGCACAAACATCTCATTATGATGAAAGAGAAATCGAGAAGTTCTACATGAAGCTGGAGAAGTTCTATAAAGAAGACCACACCTTCTACAAGATCATCATCGGTGATTTTAATGCCAAGATAGGACCAAGAAGATCAGCTGAAGAACTTCACATCAGGACTCATGGCCTAGAATGGAACAAACAGGGTGAGAGACTGTCTGAGTTCATCATGTCGACCAAGACCATCCATGGTAACTCAGAGTTCCAGAAGGCAGAATCTAAACGTTGGACATGGGAGTCTCCCGGTGGACGATTCCACAACAAAATAGACCACATCATATTCAATCGACGGTTTTGCCTGACTGATGTCGCTGTTATCCCAAAATTTCGAACGGGATCGGACCACCGTCTCCTTCGTGCAAAATTCTACTTCACAGAGCGGGGAGAAAGGGCTGCAAAGTTCAAAAAGAGAACTCCCAGAACGACCACCAACTGGGAACTCTTTGGCACTATTGCGGCAACATGGGAAGATGCTATTGTTGACAACATTGACGAGGAATATGATCGACTAGTTCCGCACCTCCATGAATGTGTGAGGAACGCCAAGAGAGAGATAGACAGAAAGAAAGCCTGTCTTCAAAAACTCTTGAGCTAATTCGCCAGCGTGGTTTGGAGCATGCCTCAGGAAACCACAAGCTAACATCTGAGCTCGAAAAGCAGTGCAGAGATGCGATCAAGGAAGACCTCAAAGAGAGAAGAGCAGAAGAGAGAGATAACCACAAAAAACCATCTTCTTCGAAAACTCTTGAGCTAATTTGCCGGCGTGGCTTGGCGCATGCCTCAGGCAACCACAAGCGAACGTCAGAGCTGGCAAAACAGTGCAGAGAAGCCATGAAGGATGACCTCAAAAACAGGAGAGCAGCAGTACTGGTGGATGCGGCAGAAGCTGGGAAAAACATTTGTAATGCCCGCCTGTCCTTCGCCAACTACAAAACCAAGATAACTGCCCTCTGACATCATGATGGATCTAACACATCTTCCAGAAGGGCAATGGAGAAGATTATTCATGACTTCTACTCAGATCTCTTTAATAGCCACATCCACTTGCCCACATACCACATACCACATGATGGATATGTTGTTCCCAATGTTCTCCCTTCCGAAATCCAACATGCCATCTCATCCGTAAAGAAACAAAGAGCACCTGGCCCAGACAAGATCAGACCTTAACACCTGAAGAACTTACCATCAGTACTCATCAATACATTGGCTCGACTCTTCACACGCTACCTGTCTGAATGCAAGGTTCCATCCCAATGGAAAACCAGCAGGACTGTACTATTATACAAGAAAGGAGACATCCACGACATTGGCAACTATCGCCCAATCTGCCTATTGTCTGTCATCTACAAACTATTCACTCGAGTCATCTTGAATAGGATTAGCAGAACACTAGATGAAGGACAACCATGTGAACAAGCTGGATTCTGAAAAGGACTCAGTACCATCGACCATATCCACACAATAACCAAGCTCATTGAG